CTCACCAACACCTCCAAGTTGTTGGGTTTCACAGGATCAGCAGCTGGGCCCTGGGTTGTCCCCAGAAGGAGTGCCCAGACTCGCCCTGGTTCTGACCCACGGAGATAGCCTCTTCCCCAGGTGTTGGGGCTAGGGGCATCCCCGTTCCAAGCTGCGTCCGCTCATCTCTGTCCCCGGGCCTGTCCACCCCTGTGGCCCGCTGCCACAGGCCTACCTGCGTCCACTTGTCTCTGCCGCTGGGCCTGTATGTCTCTGTCAGCTGCCACTGGGTCTCTCTGCCTCTGCGGGCAGCCAACGGGCCTGTATATCTCTGCCGGCTGCCACCGCGGGCCTACCTATCTCTGCTTGTCACTGCTGCAGGGCCCATCCACCTCTGCGAACTGTCACCAGGCCTGTATGTCTCTGCCGGTTGCCGCTGGGCCTGTATGTCCCTGTCGGCCACTGCCACCGGGCCCCTCCACCTCCGCGAGTCGCTGACCTGTGTCTGCCCGTCTTACCGTCTTACCGCCCCGTGGCCTATCTACTTCTGTGGGCCGCCGCTGCAGGGCCTGAATGTCTCTGTCGGCTGTTGTCGCCGCCGGGCCTGTCCACCTCCGTCTGCTTATCTCCGCCGCAGGGCCTGTCCACCTCTGTGGACCGCCGCTGGGCCTGAGTGTCTCCGCCAGCTGCCGCCGGGCCTAAATGTCCCTGTCGGCGGCTGCCGCAGGACCCGTCTACCTCCGTGGGCCGCTGCCACAGGCCTACCTGCGTCTGCTTGTCTCCGCCATCTTCGATGTTTTTTTTTTATGTGCTCACCTTCAATTCTTGATATTCTTTCTTCTGCTTAATCTAGTTCACTGGTAATGCTTTTCAGTGTTTATATATTGCATTTTTCATTTCCAACAATTGTTTAATAATTTATTTGTTTGCTTGTTTGGGGGTTTTTTGAGACAGGGTTTTTCTCTGTATAACAGCTGTTCTGGAACTCACTTTGTAGAATGGGCTGGCCTTGAACTCACAGAGATCTGCCTACCTCTGCCTCCTGAATGCTAGGATTAAATGTGTGAGCCTCTACACCAGGCTGCTTGTTTTGTTTGTTTGTTGTTGTTTTGTTTTCAAAATTTTGATTTTCTTGCTGAATTTCTCATCTCATCATTCTTATCTAGGCTCTGAACTGTCTTCCTTATCTCATTCATCTGCTTGTTTGTATCCTCTTGCTGATCAAATTAAGTCATTCTTCGGAATTTCAACCTTTTCAATATTGCTGGATTCAGTTAGTAACATATGATCTTTGGCAAAGACATGCTACCTACCTTTTCATATTTGTGTTTCTGTTTTGTGATTTGTCCATCTGTCAGATATACTTTCCAGTTTATTATTGGGTTTAGAAAGCAGTCTGTTTTTGAGGGCTCAATTCCAATACCACACAAGAGACTAAAATAAGAGACCACTTTAATAATACCAAGACCAAATCAAAGCAGATACAAAAATTCTCTTAAAATAGTCATAGTCCACTACTCTGTCACTAATGACCATAGACAAGCAAGTGGAAAAAATACTGTAGAGTAAGCTATAAGCTTAGAAAGTAATTTGATTAAGGTTAGCATGATGGCCTGGCCAGTAAAGACCTTTACCACAAGAGCCTGAGTTTGATCCCTAGAATCCACATAAAGTTGGGAGAAGAGAACTGGATTTACAAAATTGTCCTCTGACCTCCACACACAATACCATGACACAAGTGCACCATACACACAACTTGCATACACATGCTCGCACACGAACACACAAACACACATACACACATGATTTTTAATTAATTAGATAAAAAGAATAATAGATGAAAGAAATAAAGGAGGATGAGGGGAAAGATAAATCAGTGAGGTTAAATAAAAGAAAAAGGTTAAGAATGATAGGAAGAGAAAGAGAAAAAGCAAGGCATACTTGAAATACTATTATACAATAAGGAAAAATGGAGAGCTGGGGAGTTGGCTCAGCAGTTAAGAGCACTCTTACAGAGAACCCAGGTACCATTCCCAGAACTCACATGGTGGCTCACAGCCACCTGTCACTCCAGTCCCAGAGGATCTGACAACCTCTTCTGACCTCCACAGGCATCAGGCACACACATGGCACTTACACATAAGCAAAACACTTGTATGCATAATAAATTTTTAAAAAGAAAAATACACAAACAAAACTAGATAGCATTACAAGAGAAATGAAAATCATAAAAACTTTTTTGAACAATAAAAATAATACTGGGCTGGTGAACGGGCTCAGCAGTTAACGTGCTTGCTCCACAAGCTTGATGACCGGTGTAAACTGGAACCCACATGAATGTGAGAGGACAGAACTGACCCCACACATGGGCAGTGGTATGGAAGCCCCCCCACACACACACACACTTTCTCTCTCTTTCTCTCTCTCTCTCTCTCTCTCTCTCTCTCTCTCTCTCTCACACACACACACACA